CTCTGAAGTTTAAGGAGATGGGGAGATTTACAGGTTCTTCACAACGGACAGGAAAAGAATACCAAGTAGAGATCACACTTACCTCAATGAGGTTTTTAGCCTTAAAAACATCTCCAATTTCACAAATGATGATATCATCTTTAGTCCTTCCGAGCCCATCAAAATGAACATGTTGAACAACCACCTAAACATGACAAGTGACATGGGGGCACTGATTATTATGTATGACACAGGCAAGAGATTAAGCATCAAGACCAAAGACAAATGTCTAAAATTAATTTCAAGGTTTTTTTCAAGTTTAATAAAGCTATACTTCTTACTTCTGGACTTTATTCTTATTTTTCACACCTTTTCAAAACCTGGTGACTTGGACTGACCCTTTGCTAGGTCCGTGCTTCCTGCGAACCAAAGCTACGAGGTCTCTCCAGCCAGCCGCCCCAGAAACACATCGGCCCTAAACCCGAGCAGGACGCAGACGCCCTCCCTGTCCTTCCCAACATGCTCCCTGGGCACTGGCCTGTGGCTGAACGCTGGCCTTGACCTCTGACCTAGTAACTGTGTGCATCTCGCTAAAGATCATGCATGGATTTCACGATAAATGCTGACTTGAAAAGCCCCTCTCCTCCCAGTCTCCTCACCAGAAAGTAAACACTTCAGGAGTTGGAAATTTAAATTTCAAAGGCAAAAATGTTTAGAAAAAGTTTCATTTGAGACCCACGGTCTTTTTTTCTGCGAGTACAGAAAAGAAGTACACATTTAAGTAAAATTTGAGTTTGTTTCTGAAATACTTTTTTTTAATAACATAAATATAAAATTTGTTTCCTAAACCTTCCACATGAATAATCACCCAGGAAAAACTACTTCTCTAAAACCAGAAACTATTCTCTAAAAGTCACCAGTCTTTCTAGTTGTACTTTGTTATGAACTCGTCTCAGATAAAGGTGCTCCTTTATCTGACACAGGTTAATTCCTTTACATCTCCCTAGTGGTCTATGAAAGTGAATGTTTCTAGTAACAATTACATCAAGACCTTCAAAAGGAAACTCACATCTTTATTTTCAAGAATTTCCTGTTTCGCTTCAGGTTCAACTTCAACAAATTCAGCTTCTTCTCCTAATGCTCCAAAATCAGGTCCACTTGATGGAAGAGGCTCCAAACTCTGACAGGGAGAGAGGAACCAGAGATAAATGGCTTTGAAACATACACACACACAAATTAAAACTTTGAGTTTTGTCTTTAGATGGTGCTCCAGAAAATTCAGCAGTTCTTCCCTCTGGTGAGCGGAGGCAGGGACAGGATGGGGAATAGTGAGCAAAAGGGCAGGTGTCAGCTATTCTTAACGTGCAAGTTCTTGGATTGGTGGTTGACTCATCAGTGCTCACTAAATAAAACAGATAAAATTAATTAACTAAAAGGGCCACACACAAGCCCATGATGACCGTGTCGATTATGACTAACCTAATTCTATACACTTGAGGCCCATTTGAAGAAAAAAAAAAAATCATTAAAAAGTAAAGTGCCAACTTAGCAAGAGCGAGACTCTGTCTCTACTAAAAATAGAAAGAAATTATCTGGACAACTAAAAATACATATATAGAAAAAATTAGCCAGGCATGGTGGCACATGCCTGTAGTCCCAGCTAGTTGGGAGGCTGAGGCAGGAGGATCGCTTGAGCCCAGGAGTTTGAGGTTGCTGTGAGCTAGAATGACGCCACGGCACTCTAGCCAGGGCAACAGAGCCAGACTCTGTCTCAAACAAAAAAATAAAAGTAAAGTGCCACAAAGACATTGATCAGGGAAAAGAAAAAAATTTCCTTCCCTGTTGTTATAGAAAGAATCCTGATTTTTCAAATAGAAATTATATACATTTTAGGATAGCTACACTGGATACCAAACTACCAAGAAAACATGTTGTTTGGACCCTGACGGATTTTTTTCATTTCGGGGTAAAAGCATTAAAGGGCACTGCACATGCTCATAAAATGGGCCAGAAAGCGGTCACTTTCTACAATCTATGTTGGAATTAACTCAAAACATTAGAGCATCTTCTGAATAAGCATTCCGTAGGCTGTGTTTAGTACTTCCCACCCCTGCCCTAAAAGGCTCTGATGGTCCTCAAAAGTACCTGCGGGATGGAATCCGACTAGATGCCTCAGCAGAGCACACAAGCGACTCCGCCACCGCCACGAGGCCCACGTCTGCTACTCCAGTCTCCATTTCCACTGCCTGCCCCATCCTCACATTCAGGCTTCTGCACACCTTGGCCCCTCTTCCACAATAACTTTCCCCTGTAAAGCTTAAAGAGCCACCTTACATGTCACCTCCTCTGTGAGCCACTCCTGGCTTCTTCAGGCAGAATCAAGCCCTCCTTGACATCAGAAGTTTTGTGACCTTCACAGGTACCCCTTTGTTTTCCTATTTTTATCTGCCCTGGCACATCAGAAGGACTCAGTAAATATTTGTGGAATGGCAAAGAAATGAATTTTCTTTTTTGTCTTCATTCAACGAATATATATTGAATGTCCAGTGTGTGTTGGGCACTGGGCTCACAGCAGTGAACAAGACCAAGTCCTTGTGGTTGAGGCTGAATTTTATACAAGCAAAAAAAAAAAGGAAAATAACGCTAGGCAAAGAATACATAATTCCACATCATTACTCTTTTGTTGTATGATATTTTAAAAACAGAATCATTATCATATCTCTTAAAAGTACGAACAAATTAAGGATACATGCACATATTCACTCCTCTTAATCTGAATGCTTAGTAAATATGCTTTGTCCAGCCACAAAGTTTATATTACAACATGCTACAAAATTCCATTACTGTTCCCAAAATCTGAAAGCGTGAAACAAGGTTCACCAAAGACCTGACAGACCCATCTGTATTCTTTTCTTTTTTTGAGACACAGTTTTGCTTTGTCGCCCTAGGTAGAGTGCAGTGGTGTCATCCTGGCTCACTGCAACCTAAAACTCCTGGGCTCCAGCGAGCCTCCTGCCTCAGCCTCCCAAGCAGCTGGGACTACAGGTGCACACCAAGATGCCCAGCTAATTTTTCTATTTTTAGTAGAGATGTGGTCTCACTCTTGTTCGTGCTGGTCTCGAACTCCTGAGCTTAAGCAATCCTTCTGCCTCAGCCTCCCAGAGTGCCAGGATTATAGGTGTGAGCCACCGCACCCAGTGCCTATCTGTATTCTTTAAGCTGAAACGCAGACTTCAAGTTCAAGAGATGTTGTCTTTGTGGTTTCACAGTTACATCAAAGCTTGATGTCCTAACTTAACTGTTTTACTAAAAGAGATTCATTTATTGACCGAATACTGTTAAGATCCTACTATGTGACAAGCACTGACAAGCTCCTTGCCTTCGTAGAATTTACATTCCAGTGTCTAGAAGGACAAACACAGGATAAGTATTTGGTAATATAAATTAAAACAAGTATTTGGATCTAGCCTCTAACCTTTAAGCAGATTAGTCCACCGATCTGTCAACAAGTTTTTATTGAGCACCATGAGCCAGGCACTGTGCAAAGCAGTTGGGACAGGACATGAAATAAATGTAACGAACTCCAAACAGCATTTTTAAAGTGATGTAGACTAGAATCAAATAGGAAATATAACAATACAAAGCAGGTTCGGGTGGCTCACACCTATACTCCTAGCACTTTGGGATGCAGAGGTGGGAGAACTGTTTGAGCCCAGGAGTTCAAGACCAGCCTGGGCAACATAATGAGACCCTGTCTCTACAAAAACTGAAAAAAGAAGGGGAAAAAAAAAACACCCAGTCTCAAAATATAACTGATATAAATGATAAATATCGTTTCACAAAATTTTGTTTTACATGTGCATGACAGTACTACCAGGTGACAAATGTCAAATGTTTTCTTAGTATGATTCCTGATCAAAAAGTTGGAAAGGCACTGGCTAGTGGGATGTAAAGGTCAAATAAAAGAATTGAAATGGAAAACCAAACACCATACGTTCTCATTAATAACTGGTAGGTAATAGATAGGTACACACAGGCACAAAGCAATATAAAAGGGCATGAGAAACCAAGAAGGGGGAAATTGGGGGGGTGGGTGTGAGAGAAAAACTTACCTATTGGGTACAATGAACACTATTCTGGTGATAGGCACACCAAAAGCCCTGACTTAAGCATTACACAAGATATCCATTTAACAAAAACACTTATACTACCTTCATGAAAATTTTGAAATAACAAATTAATTACTAAGTTTTTTAAAAAAGAACTGAAAACATTTTTTGTCAATATATTCATCAAAGGAGCAGCTAGTGTCAAAGGAGCTCCATAAAAGCTGAGACTTTTTTTTTTTTTTTGGATCTATCCCTGGCACCTATGACAGTGCCAGGCACATAGTAGGCCATCGGCAAATATTAGTTGAATAAACGAATGAATGCTTTCTTTGTTCAAGAACGCTGGAAGGAATGCAAGCCAAGTAAGTTTCTACTGTAACATCTAGAAACTTAGAATCTAATAAGATAAGATGAAAATGCAAACAGAGCTCTGGTAGAACAAGGTAGAATATAAACGGTACCGGAGGACAAATGGCAAGGAAGGTGGCAGCACATCTAATGAGAGGGAATAAAGAGGTTTATGTAGGAAGTGACTTGAACCAAGTTCTAAAAGATGAGAATGTTTTGATAGCTCAAGATGGGTGATGGGGTGCAAGAGCACAGCCCGAAGAGTGTGTCAGAACAGCAGTGGTGTTTGATCTGAGCGAAAGATAACTGAAGGGGAGTTAAAACCATTTCTGGATGCCAGGCTGAGATATCTGCACTAAACTCTTTTGGAAGTTGATGGGGGACTACTGAAAACTTCTGAGCAGAGCAAGTCAAAGAGAAGTTTGGCAAGCAGTTAGTAAACACCAAGCACCCAAGTAAGTACTTCACATGCATTAAGTCTTTTAACTCTGCCAACAGCCTGGTGAGGTAGATGTTATTACTACTTCCACTTTAAAAGGAGTAGCTAAGGCATTGAGAGGTTCGGTCTTTGCACGATAAACAGCAGAAAAGAGGATTTCTAGATAGGTCTGGGTTAGAATACTTCAAAGTATTCATCTTCTCCAACGACTCCAGCAGCGGCTGAGCAGCGAGACGCTGGAGAGGTGACCAGTAAGAAGAGAAGACACCCGAAATGGCTGAGGGCAGAGAAGTCAAATCCCGGAAAAAAAGAACGTATTCACTGTGGTCAAGGACAGCACGGAAAGTTCCTTAGTCCTTTCTGGGCCACTGACTCGCTGAGTGACCTTGAGCAAGTCTCGTCCCTCCTCTCAGGACCAGGTTCCCGCTCGGAAGCCTGCGAGACTCGCTGGCCCCAGGCGACAAGTGTGTGGCCTCCTCCACCGGGCCCCGCCGCCCTCGGCACCCTCTCACCAGGGGAACCCTGGGCGCAGCCACCAGAGCACCCACGAGACTGTCTTCCCGCGGCGCCTGTCCGCCCGGCCTGCCCAGAAGTCACACAACACACGGCCTCTTACCCGGGCGTGTACCGTCCCCATGGGTCCCTCCCCAGCCGCCGCCTCGCAGAACTGTCCCGGCCCGACCAAGGCTCAGCTGCTGAGGGCAGAAGGCGGGTCCGCTGTGGCGGAGCTGCGGGTTAGTGTAACTCCCACACGTCGCCGGAAGCAGCCTACTGGGGGCGGCCATGATGTCCCCTTTCTCCCCGCCCCCTGGCTTCACGGTGCCTTCACTCATTGGTCTCTATGAACCTGTGACCCGGATGTTCACGCGAACGCCGGGAAATCCTGGGGCCTGGAGACGGAACAAGCACAGAGCTTCAACTGACGTGTGCGAGAAGGTTGGTTGGGAAGCAGGTATCTGGCGTTGGCTCCTGGGAGAGATCTGGCCCGCTCATGGGTGCTCTAGGGCTGCGGTGCCGAACCCGGGGCCGCGGGCCGGCACCGGTCCGTGACCTGTCAGTAACCGGGCCACATCACCGCCTGATCTACGCACCCCCATCCGTGGAAAACTTCTCTTCCATGAAAGCGGTCCCTGGTACCCAAAACATTGGGAACCGCTGTTCTAGGGCATCACACAAGTCTTTCTCTTAACCTTCCTGGCGCCCGACCCGGTGGGTGCTGTGCTTGTTTCCACGCGCCGGGGAAGCCCCGAGACTCAATCGGGAGACCCCGAGTCCTGCAGCGGTGGGATCTCATAGGATTTCGAGCTGTACAAATCCGGATTGTTGCCCTGACGGCTCTCCTGCTGGCTGCGTGGCCCCTTCAAGTCACCGGGACCCCCAGGGGCTGCGTTTCCTCATCGTAAAAATGAAGATGGTAGTCATCTCTATGTCACAGGGTTGGTTTAAAAGGATAGGCGGACCGGGCGCTGTGGCTCAGGCCTGTAATCCTAGCACTTTGGGAGGCCGAGGCGGGTGGATCGCTCAAAGTCAGGAGTTCGAGACCAGCCTGAGCAAGAGCGAGACCCCGTCTCTACTAAAAAATAGAAAGAAATGATCTGGATAACTAAAAAAAAAAAATATATATATATATATATATATAAATAGCCGGGCATGGTGGCGCATGCCTGTAGTCCCAGCTACTCAGGAGGCTGAGGCAGGAGGATCTCTTGAGCCCAGGAGTTTGAGGTTGCTGTGAGCTAGGCTGACGCCACGACACTCTAGCCTGGGCAACAGAGCAAGACCCTGTCAAAAAAAAAAAAAAAAAAGGATATGCGCGTGGTCTGTACCAAAAATAGAATAATTAGCCAGGCATGGTGGGCCAAGCCTGTCTTCCCAGCTACTCCGGAGGCCGAGGCAAGAGGATCGCTTGAGCCCAGGAGTTCGAGACCAGCCTGAGCAAGAGTGAGACCCCATCGCTAATAAAATAGAAAAATTACTTGGGCATCTTGGCTCGGGCCTGTGTTCCCAGCTACTCGGGAGGCTGAAGCAGGAGGCTCGTTTGAGCCCAGGAGTTTGAGGTTGCTGTGAGCTATGATGACAACACTGCACTCTATCCGGGGCAACACAGCAAGACTTTCTCTCAAAGAAAAAAAAAAGGTGTGAGCAGGAGAGACGGAAAGTAAAAGCTCTTGGCACAGTGCACAGCACACAGTAGGCACTGGATAAATGACCGTCCATTCAGCTACAACAGTAATGAGTGAGAACCGTCTAGGTGTTTGGATAGGGGCCAGTCACATCGGTGAACAAGACCCCCACGGGCTTACACCTGGTGGCAAAACAACTCCCCCACCTCAAAAAACCCACAGTACATAATAAATAACAGGCACACCTTGTGATGAGTGCAATGAAAGAGACAAATGAGAGACCGAGTGGGAAAAGAGGAAGTCTCAGTATTACGCGGGTCATGTTACCATTCCCTCCTGATAACATACGCATCGTTATTTCACCTGCTTTTCTTCTCCCCCTTACTCCCTCCCAGAGACCCCGAGACCCTTCTCCATTTAAATAGCAGCACTCTAGGCCTCCCTGGGCTAAATATTCAAAGCCCACATTCCCCTTCTTGCCTGCAAAGAGGCAGAACCCAGCAGCAGTCCGGCCCTGCCCTTCCCTCACTGTGCCCCTTGCAGGTTGACCTATCCATCTGTCTTCCCAACCACACCGCCAGCCCCACAAAGGCAGGGACCCAGCCTGTCTGGCTCACTGAACCCAGAGCCTGGCACAGTGCCTGGCACCAAGCAGGGACTCGGTGACTATTTGCTGAGTTACTGCTTTCCTACCCCAGACCAGGGCAGACAGAGCCAATGCTCAGCCTGAGCCACGAGCAGACGCTACCCCTCCCCAAAGACAGAGCTGGGAGGGGACCCAGAGCGAGGACAAGAGGTGTGGTGTAATCCTCTCACCACCCGAACACCAGGCTCTCCAAGATGCCCACCAGGCCATCCTGACTTACTCACTGCTATGTTCCTGGCGCTTAGAACAGTCCCTGGCTTAGCAAATATTTGATGCCATCATCATTACACTGGAGGGAAATTGAAGTGACACATCCTCCCCAGCCCCAGCCCCAGCCCTTGTTCTCAGTGTTCCTTCTGCTTAGGGTGCCCTTGCATCGCCAGTCTGCCTGCAAGTGCCCATAGGGCCTTAAGGCTCAGCCCACACTGACCCACACTGCCCAAGGGCGAGGTAGTCACATGCCCCGAGCCCCAGCCCCACCGTCGCGAGTGTTCCCACCCCACAGAGCAGCGTTTCTCCTAGTGTGTCCTGGAGAGTCCCTCTGAGGTGATTATTAAAAGTGCATATTACTGGGCCTTGGTCCAGAACTATTGAATCAGAATCTCTGTAAGGTAGAACCTGGAAATCTGGAGTTTATGCCAGGCCATTCTTCGGCCCACTAGGTTTAAGAACTCATTTAAAAAAAAAAACACCTTTTTGCCATGTCTTCCTTCACCACTAGTTTCCAAAAGTCTTCGAAAACATGCATCTTATGAGAAACCTGGTCAGAAATGGGGTAGAAGGGGGGCGGAGGCACAGGTGGGAGGAGGAGGAAGGCGGGGCATCGGTGGGGCACAGGGACAAGGATCAGGGCAGACGCATGGCAGGCAGGACAGCCCCCCAGGAAAGGAGAAGCGTGGGCAGGGCCGGGCCAGCCTGCAGGAAGGAGCGTGGGTAGAACTGGGCTGGAAATGAGCTGTGAGGCCAGGAGGGCACAATCCTCTGAGTGTCCATTTTCTCTACTGCGAAATAATGGGAAGGGATGGCTAAGGACGCTGCTTGTTCTACAAATGATTTTAAAAATCTGTCTAGATTTCACAGTAGGAAGTCATAGCTCCTCAGCATTTGCAGGCTTTTAAGCCCACACTGGATCTCATTTGCCAGGGTATCGCAGACGTCAGCTTAGCTCCCGTTTAGCTCCCAGGAGAGTGGGCTTTACGGACAGACCGCTGGCTGGCACTCAGTCAGATTCTATTGCCAAGCTGTGTGGCCCTGGGCAAGGTGTGTACAGTTCCTCTCTGGGCAGAGTTTCCTCTTTTGTAAAATGGGGGTAGTGACAGCATTTTCCTCAGAGTGTGGCTTGGAGGATTCGATGGGTTAAAACATGTCAAGGTGGGCCTGACCCAAGGATTAGCTGTCCCTGTTACCGTGTGCTGGCACTGTGCTAAGTGCTTTTCACAAATGGTCTTCTTCAACCGCCAGAGTAAGGTGGCTGGCCTTTAACAGAGAATTAAACCAAGAGAGTAACTAACCCTAAGTCTCACAGCTTGCAAGCCAGGCGGGACCCAGGCGTGTCTGACACGGCCCCACGCTCTTAGCCACCTCAGTGATGCCCATAAGTGACAGGGCTTGGGTAGAGGACTAAAGCACATGATGGCTCAGAAGCCTCCCACACCTGCGTTCCCCTATTTGGGCAACTTTTAAACCAGGAGGGGAGGGAAGGGGCTCAGTAACAGGCTGCAGCCGCCACGTGTCTGTGTGCACAGAGGAGCTGGAGATGCCGCCGTTCCCCGTTACCCAGCAGGACCCGCTCCGCCTCCTCTTGAAGCCACTTTCACAAACCCAAACTTGGAAAGGCCACCCAGTGCCCTAGGCTCAGTGCCCACAGACCCAAAAATCTGTTTCGACATCACAGGAACCTGCCCCTGGCCACCAAAGTCAGGCGTTCAGGCTCTTGCTGACACTGAGCTCAGACGCAAAAGGCTATGTTAGGTGTGAACAATTTGACAGCGATTTTCAAAGATAATCAAGGAGACTGAACAAATTGTGAGCACAAGACACAAGCTGGACATTTACTCATTCTGCCAGTTCCCTGAGCCTCACTTTTCTCATCTGTAAAATCGGGACGATAGCAGTCTGCGAGGAAATGTCTCAGGACTCAGTGAGACCAGGCATCGGGCCAGGACACTGTAAACATTGAACAAGCCAGATTCTCTTTCTCCAAACATACCCTGTTTCTGCATGTCCTTTCCTTATTCTTCTTGAGTACTGCACTTCTAAAGGATAAGCCGTGGAGTTAGTGTGCAGATTGCGACAAGAGTCCAGAGCCAAATATTTGAGAGTCTATTGTGTGCAAGGCCCTGGGGCAGGATGGCAGAAGGCTCAAGTGGGAACAAAGTCATGTGCTTTACCCTCCCCCTCAGACAAGCACTATCTCTGACAGTCAATGTACAGTGACGTAGCAAAGGCTATGAGAAGTCATGCACTGCATATTCCTGTTTATTTCTCTGTAACCTAGTATTTCCTCAATGTATTGGGTCATAGAGAATTCTTGAGTTTGGCTTTTGAGGCTTTGTGTGGCCTTCGGCAGTGCTGTTTGCTAGTATTTCCCCTGCTCCTCTTTTGGGCAAAAGGTAGAATTGTATTTCCCTGCCCCCATTCACGTCACTTGCTTTGGTCAACACACTGTGAACAAACAGGATGTGTCACTTCCAGATGAAAACCTTTAAGAATCGTATTTCCTTCACCTGCCACGGACGGCAGTCACCATCCTCCAGATGCTGGGACAGCTCCAGGCTGGGTCTCCGAGTGAGGACAACTCGAAACAGAGCCCAGGCACGTCTGCTGGGCAGGCAGCGTGAAGAGAAATAAGCCTTTGGGGTTGTTTTTGTTAATGCAGCGTTGAAAGGGGCAGCCTTGCGAACGTAACAGGAAAATGCCGAATCCCACACTCACCCCAGTAACGGTGACAGATCAGTCCCGTGAGTTCTCCCACTAACAGGCACTCTGCGGGAGTCCTGTTTTGCACAACTTCTGAAAAGAGCTGAATGAACAGAAGGGAGATGTAAATCTTTCAAAATTGTTTTCTTGAGAATCTGCTTTTACAGCCTAAAGAGTCCCTGAGCGAGCAGCTGGGTGCGAGCTCCAAGCCTCGACCCTTCTGGAGGACAGAGTCTATCTCCTGCGATAACGCCTTCGCCACGGAAAGGCAGGAGACCAACTCTTGGACTCTGACGTGCTGGCTGTCTTTGTTATCTACCTGCCACGAAGAAGAAAGAACGGAGCGGACGCAGCAGTTTCTGACCGTACCGCCACGTTTACAACCCCCTTTAGAAAGCTGGGGCAGCCGGCTCTCGGGCGGCACCTCCTTCCTCTCTCCACCTCCGTGCCGGTCCACTCCCGACCCCGCGGGGAAAGTAAATAAACCCTTTCTTTCCATCCTAATCTCTGTCTGGGGAAATCTTTCGCAAAACCCGAGTGTGCCAGCAATGCCACCCTAACAAGCATAGCGCACCCTACCCTAGAAATGTCTGCAAGGAACTCAGCATTCCAGAAAACTTGGTGTACGAAGTGCTTATCTGGTCTGCTCAGAAGTAGAAATGAAGTTTAGTGACGACACTGGTTCCCTTAATACAATAAAACCCCAAGTCCCATTGGCCATGTGGAGGGAGGCGCCACCCACCCACCAGTGTGGGCAGCTCGCAGTGTGGGCTGCCCTGGGCCCTCGGCCTTGTCTGTCCCCTTCCCTTGGGTGAGCACCCTGAGGGGTGGGGTGTCTCTGTCTCTCAGCACGTGACCTCTAAGGGGTGAAGGTGTCAGTGAGAGCAGGGGGCCTGAGAGAGGCCCACGGCGGGAGGAAGAGGGATGTGGGGGAGGCTGGGGCTCCTAGGGAAGGCTGCCCCTGGGTGCGGGGTGCTCAGGTCGCCCGGCAGCAACGTGGAGGGCAGATGGGCCCGAGGCTGAGAGGCTGAGAACGAGCCTGGGGCTGCCATGGGAAGCTGTTGTAGCAGCCCAGGCGGCAAGTGCTGGGCCTCCCTGGGGCAGCAGAGGGCTAGGGACGAGGCCAGATTCCAGAGATGTTAGTGCAGACAGGACTGGGGGTGAGTGCCCAGTGCCAGGCTTGGTGGCTCGGGAGCTGGCAGAGCAGAGGCGCTCTGGGCTGGGGGGCTGAGGCGGAGGTGCTCCCTGTGGTGAGTGGAGCCAGCAGGCGGACTTGACCTCATCACAGCCAGAGATAGGAGAGAGGGTCCTTGGAGTGAGCGGGGCCTTCCTGGGAGCCCCGGTGCACACTTGGCAGAAGATCCACGCCACGGCCGTGGGGACCAGCCCGGTGCCCAGGATGGAGATGGGGCAGCATGAGACTCTGGGGTCCCAGAGGAAGCAGAGAGATTCCAGGAGGGTTTGGTCACAGTGTCCAGGAAAGAGCCCCTGGGCTGTGGCAGCGTGGAGGCCACCTGGTCAGGTAGGGCCGAGGAAGACTGCCCTGCAGGAGCCGGGCCGTGAGAGAAGCCCAGCCACACCGCGGCTCGCTGGAAAGGCGGCAGAGACAGGGAAAGCACCTGGAAAGTCACCTTTATTACGAGTCATTTTCTGCTGCTGAAAGTAATGCATCTTGTTCACCACAGAAATTTGGAAAACACACATAAGCACAAAAAATAAAATACAATTACATTTATGACCAGCCTGAGCAAGAGCAAGATCCCATCTGTACTAAAAATAGAAAAATTAGGTGGGTGTGGTGGCTCGAGCCTGTAGTCCCAGCTACTTGGGAGGCTGAGGCAGGAGGATCACTGGAGCCCAGGAGTTGGAGGCTGCAGTGAGCTGCGCTGAAACCACTGCACGCTACTTGGGGCAACCAAGTGAGACTCTGTCTCAAAAAAAAAAAAAAATACAACTGCAAATAACAGCCTAATGAAAATCACTATAAATAGGTTGGTATACATCCTTTCAGTCTTTTTTCTATGTATACACTCAGATACACACACACACCCACACACATTTTATTTTTTGGACAAAATTGGGCTCATACTCTGCACTAAGTTTTGCTCTCTGTTTACCGAATAAAGACTGTTGCCCCCTGACATTACATACGCTACACATTGATTATTCCTGAGCGGTTTGCTCCAAAGCCTAAATGCACCGTAAATTAAAGGGAGGGCTTGACTGGATGGGGTGGAGGAGCTTCATACCCTTCCCTGGAGGCGGTTCAGAGGGGAGGCCTGGAGGCAGGTGCCTGCTGGGATCTTCGTGGGGGCTGGCAGGGAAGGAAGGAGGGTGGCATTTGAGGCCTGGGTGGGAGGGAGGCCTTGGCCATTTCTAGAAGAGCTTTACACTTCCTTACTTCCTTATCTTTGTACACACTTAATAAAAATTATAAAACAAGTGCTCATTTTAAGAAGGTTGGGTAATTTTGAAAAGGAAAAAGAAAATAAGCCCCATGGTATCCTATCAGCCATTTAACATATTTGTTTCCCGATAATGGTCACAAAACCCATATACGCATCCGTCTGTACGGACATCTATTGGTTAGAAAACACTGTTAACGTTTAGTTAGATCTGCTAATGATGGAAGAGGTGGTTCTAACAGAAGAGAGAGAGAAGAAAGCTTATTGGGAAACTTGGGAAGGTGTGAGGGTGTGTTGCTAAGAGTCAGGGTGGGTGTCAGGTGGGGCCTCCCCCACCCCATTCCAGCTCTGCAGGGGGGCAGTGCCTTGCTGTGACACGCAAAGGCGGTGGCAGGTGGAAGAGCCCACCCCTCACCAGCACTCAGCTCCCTGGGGGGCGAGCACTGCCCAACCGGAGGCTTCGGGCGCTCACTCAGCCCTCGAGAAGGAAGGACCCAGGCACAAACTCCCGCCCTGGAGGGGGCTTCTGTGCACTAGGCGATCACTCCTTATTTCACAAGTAGCCTCTGCCTTCGAGGAGCTCACAGTCTCATGGAGAGAACAGGCTCACACAGAGTTTGCCCCCGAACCACACCTTCCCTTCTCAGTAAAGCGCTTTGTCTGAACTCGCCAGTTCTTCGACTCCAGGGCACTCACGCGATACAGGTGGGAGTCGCGACTTTCTTTGCCAGCCTTTAGGAGTCTGAGCACATTGTTGTTTCTTTCGTTGCTGTCTTTGTTGTATATATTTCACTCGAATGCATAAATAGCAAGAAACACACACATTTCATCTTCGGTCACGTTACATGGAGCTCGCTAACGCATCACCACACCTGGGAAAAAGGCGGCTTCTCGCCTCAAAGGCTTGTCCCATCGAGGCTGGCAGAGTAGCGGGGACAGAGAGAGGCTGAGGTGGTGAGAGACGCAAAGAGAAAGAAAGGAAGGCAGGCCAGAAGCATGCGGTTCCAAATGAGCCAAGTTCCGCGGGGCGTGGTGGGGGCTCCCGCAGCCAGGACGTGGGGTCCTCCGCCGTGCGTGGCCGCTGCCCGGCCGGGTGACTGCCTTGCAGGCTGCTTTTTGTTTTCCTTTAAGGCTTATTCTTTAACATCTCACTGATTCACACGATACACAATTCAACAGATAATACGATTCCCTTACATCTTAAATACTATTTTAGTTAGGTGAAAAAGATGTTCTAAAATGTAAGTAAGTTATCATCTTTTAATGTCACCTGACAGGTGGCACCCTTCCTGGGAAACGATGGCGCCCCCTCCCCCTGCACTGACAGCTTCCTGGAGGGCAGGAGAGGTCATGCTTCTTTCTTCCTCCCACCACCCAGATTGCACAAGGGCCAGCCCAGCCCCTGACCACAGGGCCCTGCCGTCCTAGGAACCTCGCACTGGGACAGTCCCACCATTGACAGGGCTGTGAGACAGAGCTGGTGACGGACCCTCTGTGCCGGGCTTTCACTGCCACTTCCCAACCCACTGAGCTTAGTGACACTCAAATCCTGGATTTCCTTAGGTGCCGGACTTCCGCACTATCAAAGGTCACTTCCTAGCTTTCCATAAAACCAAACCCATTGCCGTTGGTTTCGGCAAACTATAGATTCAGCACCGAGGCTGGGCTCCTAACGGCACAGGCAGGGTCGTTACACAGCAGTGCAGGGGCAGCTGCACGAGGATCGGGAAGGGCTAGGCCCTCCTCAGATGACTCGGAAACTCCTCCAGTGGAAAGTGGAAGGCAGAGAGCCCTCCACCCGGCAGACACTCTGTTGCCCGAGAAGAGGGTCAGGCCGGCCTTGAGGATGGACTGAGGAGTGGCCTCAGCTTCGGCGCCTCCTGGACGGCCCGTGGGACAGCATCCAGGTCTACAGCGAAGCAGGGGGTCCCGAAGTGCCTGTCCTGTCCGCTTTGCCTGGGGAGGCCTGTGGGCCGCTTGCTGGCATTTGGGATCTGAAACAAACGAGGAAAGTTAGCTCAGCGGCCACTCCTGCTGCCCTGAGGTGTGCGGTCTCAGCGAGGGTGGACCCCCATGCGTGCTCTGGGCCCTGCAGGTGGCCCAGCCCAGGGCCACACCTTCCTCCAGCCTTCAGAGCTGGGTAATGTCACCATCCTGGTCTTCTAAGCCTCTGGCCCTCCCAGCCACCTGGACACCTCCCACTGGACATCCAAGGGTGTCACCCATCAACAAGTCCCCAATGGGCCTATTGGTTTCCTCCACACAAACCTGTCTGTCTGCCAGGGTGCCCTCCCACCTCCTGGCACCACCGTCCACCAGTCTCCAGGCCAGGCCCTCCCCCCTCAGGGGGCAGGTGACCAACACTGAGGTGACCGACACCTTGGCAGCAGCCCTCTTGCTGGTCAGCCCGCTGCCAGCTCGGCCCGGGGACCCATCCTCTATACGGCCACTACTGTCACCTCCCCAGTGCAAACCAGATCCCGGCACGCCCCCACCTTCAAATGCTTCCACGTCTGCCAATAAAATGCCAACAGCAACAGAGGCCCTACTATCTCCTGATGGCCACCGTGAGCCAAGCACTGTGAGATGGATTCTCAGAAGCTCACGGCAGCCTAATGATGAGGACTGCCCCCACGGAACAGGTGAGAAAACTGAGGCCCACGATTTTCAGGTTAGGGCCAACCCTCGTAACTGGAGCCAAGCTCTCCTTGGTCTGGATCGGAGTTTTCAGAAGCCAGAAAGTAGCGTCATCACCTGGGTCATGGACAATGACACAGACTGCCGGTTCCGCCCCCAGGGACTGTGATTCAGTAAGTCTGACGTTGGAGGCCAGGGAATCTCATTACCAGGCACCCACCCACCCCGCACACTCTGAGAAGCCCCAGCGGGCCCTGCCTCCTGCTGTACGGAGGGCACCAGGGCCCCTGCCTTCAGGCACCCAGTGCTGTCTGGTCCTCCCCGACCTCCACGCTGAACCCTCCGTGCGAGGCACCCTTCCCTGCTCGTGGCCCCCCCTCCTCTGCCAGCAACACTGGGCTCAAATGGACACACCCACGGGAAGGCGGGTCTGGTTACAGACTTCAGCAGGTGTGCTGGGACCTCTCACGGACTCGGCCACCTCCAAGACAGGCGCCAGCGCTCAGCCAAACGTCTCCAGAATGCCACGCGAGGCCTGATCAGATGAGAGAGGTGCCCGTGTGGCCCACACAGCCACAGCCAAATCGTCTACCTGGAAGTGGGGAGCAGACACGTCATCGCTCGCGCACAGATCTTCGAGGTCGCCCACTGCAGCCACCGCACATCCTCAGGAATGTCGGGAAGCCACGTCACCAGTCTGCAGGAGCGAAACCGTGTCCATTAACACACGCATGCATGCATAAGCGTGTGTACTTTCGCCTGCGTGCACCCACGCACACACACACACACACACACACACACACACACACACACACACACACTCACCGTCCCAGCATGAAGAAAAGCCAAAATAAGAGCACAACAAAAACTAAGGCAGAATCAATTATCTTACAACAGCAGCCTTTGCCCAGGAAGCTGCTGGCATCACCTCCAACTGCAGCCTGACAGGTGCCCAGAGGGCGGACGTGCTGTGACAAACATGAGCCCACCCACAATCCCCAAACCAAAGTGAGGCCATGCTTGGCTCAAGAAAGCTCAAGGTACTTCAGGGGAACTAACAGGGAAAGACCTTGGCTGTCCAGGCTCCGCTTGTCTCAGAGAGAAGCGGTGGCCAGTGCCGGCTGCTGCAAAGTATCCTGCAGTCCAGACCTGTCCC